TGTTTTTTTTATTCCTCAAAGCAAAGTACTCTGTCTATTGTTTGACTTTTGAATCCTTAAATAATGGGTTTACAGCTCTGAAGAATGACACAGAGCAAGGCTCATTAAATGGAATTAATTAAACTCAGTGTTACAGAAAAGCGCTAATATTTTATGTTGTGTGAAAAAACTCTGCAAGTTCCACAAACCTTCTTTTTTATTCCCGTCACTTTCACATTCCACATTGGCGTTATAGTAGCTCCGCATGTGTAACCTGTAAATCTTTAAGACTTTGTGCCTCAGCCTTCTGAGGTAACAAATCTTAACTGTGGCTCACACAAGTGAATAAATTTACTTAAACTATTGTGTTACTTTTGCAAGATTCTAAAACTATAACTATTTCACTGCAAAACCCAGTTTATGCCAGTATTTGCTATTTTAAAGAACAATAATGTTAAAATAATATTGAAAATTGACAATTAAATATAGCCTGATGTTTATGTAGACACATGAATATGTTAGCAATTTTCCAGCTGAAAACAGACGTCTACACATGTTTAAAAAGGGACATAAGCAGGGTTTATTTTTGTAGTCAGACATTACATTTCTTACATTTTGGACCACTTAAGATTAGCACAATTATTTTCCCACTTGTTTACTGTTAGAATAATTAGAAACATTTTCTTCTAATACAGAAGTTTGAAGAAATGTTTGATTGTATTTACCCAGAATGCCCTGCTCTGGAGTCCACTTCCTGCTTTGGGAGATGTTGCCTTTGAATCCACCCACAGCCACAGATATACCTGTTGATTAAAATTTTGTAAACCAACCAGAAGTATAAAGACATTAATTTATCGTCGTGGTGTCGCTCAGTTTTTTAAAGGTACAGTAATTGTAGCATAAATAAATAAAATGTCTGAATTTGAAGAAAATCAAGCAAGACTTTGCTTGTCGTTCTTCTGTTAAGCAAACAGAAATATTTTTGACCACCCTTACTGACCTGAAACAAGATTTAATGTGAGAAAGAAAAAAAAAAACATTATATCTCTAAATATCTTCCCTCAACTGCTGGTTGGATTGATTTGAGCTGCCGGTTTATGTTTCTTGTGAATCTGGTGTCATCTACAGAAGTTCATTAAAGTTATTTAAAGTTGGTGAGCCAAAACATATTTCCTCTTCAAGCGTGTTCCGAGTTAATTGAGCTAATCCTTCGTCTGGTTAGCGTAGCCCTGTAAATGCAGCGGGTTTACACTTCTCATCTGGTCTTTACCTTCCTTAATATCACACAGAACTAATAAGAAAAGACACATTTTATTGTGCAGGCTAATAAAGAAATCCATATTTGGCTCAATCTAAAGAGGACTCATACTCAAGAGGCTATTCAGCTCTCGAGAAGCAATTATTTAGGCTGAAGCTAATTGGTGCACTGTACAATCTAATTAGCTGTGCATGCTGGGATCCTTCTGTTGCTGTTGTTAAAAGTTCCCAGGCTTCTTTTCAGAAAGTCTTACCATAACAAAGAGGGAAGGGATCGTAATAAATAATAGATTTATGTTTTGAGCTTAATATCCTCGGTGAGAGATCTTGTAAAATAGCCAATGATTTAAATGTAGCATTGCAGCAATATTATGTGTCAGTGCTACTATAGTTGAATATGGTGAGTTCATTCATATTTAAACCAGGTCGCTCTAGAAAATAGTACTTCCTGTCTCAGTGACATTTACCCGGACAAATAAAGGTGAATTTAAAAGAAATATTTTTAAAAATGCAACGCACTAATGAGGAAAATTGACATCAATGATGTTACAAGTCATTCAAGTTTCTAATTCATGAAAATAATTAATATCAGCAACTGCGACCATCTCTATAAATGCAGTAGTTATGTCATTATGATGTCATTGAGGGTGTGTTAGCACAATGCTAAGTGAGGAAGAACATCCTCAACAACCTTAATGATGAGGCTCATTAAACTGCCAGTGAGAAAGAAAGATGGTTCACAAATCTATTAAAAGTAAAACATTTGTGACTGTAGTGTTTGAAAACAGACCAAAAATTATTTATTTTATATAAAGGAGACCAGGAAAAGTCCTCTGAATGAACCATCAGACTTCTGGAAAAATGTATTTTGGATAAACAAGACTTTATTATTATTATTATTATTAGTATTATTTTGTGTCCACCTTCTCCTTGTGAACTTCTCATGTTGGTGTGGGTGGCTAGCGTTTAGAAGACCATTTTGCTTCCTGTTTATTTCCTTCTGTGTCCATTAGTCACCTGGTCTAGGTTTCCTGCTCAGGTTCTGTCGCAGCTTTTTGATATGCCAAAACTCAAAATTACTTCAAAAATGTAGTCTTTTGTTATATTTTTCACCCGTGGAGGTCACCATTTTTTCACCGCTGGGTTGATAACGCATAATGGTCCATTCTGTACCGGAGTCTACAGAGTAAACACAGGAAAGCTACCTTTACCCCAGTAGCTGTTTATGATATTGCGTTTGACTGGTGTCATTTTAGATAATGGCACACTGTGTCACTATCGGCCGTGATAAAAAATAAGAATTGAGAAAAAAAATCTGGATAATTTCCGACATGAAAGAAAGGAGAGCGCAGTGCGAGAGCCGGAGCGGAACACAACGAAGTACCTAATCTGGACCCTGGACATTTCTCCACAACACTTTGAGCCATTTATACCAGCAGAGCCAACGAAGGCTCTAACAGCCAACGTTAAGGTAGCGTTAAGGTGATGGCTACCTTAACGAGCTAAAAATAAATGCCGTGCTGCCGCTGAGACAGGCAGAGCTGGATGCTCTTTGAGATGCTAACAGGACCTATACCGCCTGCGGTATTGACGTCACCAATCGACCAGGTCCATGGCGGTCCGGTGTCGGTGGTAATTAAGTTCAGTGTGGCTGTTACCACCGCACCGAACTCTAAGCAGCACAGCTGATGCCGAACCAGACACAGCGCTACAGACACTGGGAGAAACGTCAAAGACAAGCAGCGCTAATGGGCTATTACTACTGGAAATGCTAATGGACCTAGATCACCGGTACTGTAAAACCATTATGACCTTGAACGAAGTTCATACGCTGTTACCGAACTGGACACAGAGCTACAGAAGTACTTACCGGATCACACAGTCCGACCACAGGTAAGTGTCATTCATCGTTTCATTATGAAGCTGAAGGCAGCAGCAAAACACCAGCTCCTACAGCCAACTCTGTTCTCTTCATCACCTCTTCTGATTTCTATCTTCCGATCGTTTTCATTGCACTCCGGTTCAAATTAAAAAGGATTATATAACGGTACTCATCACTGTTTAGGCCGGAGGAGTCAGGCAGTTGGACCGTTACACGTCATTTACCCAGAATGCATTGCAGTATGAAAAACATGGCGACATTCCTGTGAAAATATTTTATTAAAATTTATAAAAAAAAACTAAATAACCTACTGTATTATTACTGTATTGTTTTTACATCTGAGATAAATATTTCCCAAATAAGGTCTATTTTTATAACTAGTCGTAATTCCCTTTAAGGACGAAGGCAGCATTTCGAAATGGTAGTGAAATTGGGACAGATGAGACTAAAGAGGACATGTTTGAACTTAATCCACAGAAGATATTTGGTGAAATTTTATTTATTTCCCTCTTTCTAGTGATAAGACAGTGTTTCTGATGTGTTGCTCAAAGTGTATGTAGCAATTTGCTGATACACAACTCCCTGGCTGAGGTTTTCTTAGATACTAATAATGTGCCACATAACACAGCAGCAAACAAAAGATCTATATCACGTGTAGCTAATACAATCACCATAACGGCGCACACACACACAAACAACACAAGTGTGTTTAAGAAGCTAAGATATTAAAAGTGAGCGTAATCTTGTTACGTTTCCAGACAGTTCTCGATCTCAGCGATAGAGAATGTTTTCAAATCTGTCATAGTATTTTATGGAGCATGCTATTCCAGATAAAGATGTCGGCTATTTTGCAGCTGTTATTAAAAGAGCTCGTGATGACCTGAGCTACAATTTCTGAACATTAATAAAAAGAAAATCAAAGATCACTGAAGCATTGAAAACTCATAAAGCCGTCCTGTATCTGATCATGATGCCAAGGAATTATTCATAATTTTAAGAGCCTGACTGGAAACAAATAGCTCATTCTAAACTGTACAGCAACATGATAGAGGGTTAGCAAATGACACTGGATTCAAATCTGAAGCGTCTTCTTGACATCTTGAGATTTGTCTGAGATTTGTACATCAACCGAAACACGACGGCAAACACAGCAGCATCTCTGCAGTGGAGAGAGAAAAAAGAAAGGAACCAAGAAGCTGCAGTGGCTCGGTCAAAGTCTAATCTACTTGCTTTGTTGCCATTAATGTATGCAGCGAAAAAGGACAAGAATTAACATTTGCTGTTTGACTCTTTCTCTTTGACTTCTTAATTTAACGGCTTGAAATTGGGCCTCTGTCACTTTAAGAAACTTCTGCTATTTCTGAAACTCCACCTTCCTAAAGTCATCACAACATGGCTCCTCTATTAACCCTTTAACAAAGTTTTTGCCAGCATTACACTGAGAAGTAGGTCCTATAACGAGTTCAGCTGATGCTCAGTTCCACCAGGTGTTTGCTAATTGCGGCTGGCTAGTCTGAAGGAGCGGAGGTGGGAAAGTTGTGGGGGAGGGGTGATCTGTGAGGCGGAAGCTTGGAAACTGCAGCTCTGAGGAGGAGCTTTGTCCTTGAAGGCGGTGCTGGGTCGCACCGAGTGTTTTGCTAATCGAAACGGTTGCCGTGGGAGATTTAAAGGATTTTTCAAACATCCTGAAAAGAATCATGTCCTTGATAACACTGTGACATGATGTAAAGCTCAAAAAAGTCAATTTTAGATGATGCTGCCCCTTTGATAAATCTTTTTGCCATGAAAGTGAAAGCCAATTTTTTTATTTTTCAACTTTTCCAACATCATTTGCAGTTTAGAAAATTGCAGAAACAGATCCAACACTTGGAGCTCTCTGCAGGCTAATTATCTCAAAGCGCGAATGTATGTCCACACTTTGAAATAAGCCCTCGTATCCTTCCAATTCAGTGAATGTGTTTTCTTAAAACTTCTCTTAAAACCTATCCAGTTTTCACCAGCCTTTGACTAGTTGCCGTCGACAACGGCGTGGAGACTTCCAACACGTAGCTGCGACTGAAGTTAGCACAAGCACAGAGCCACCGCTGCGCTTTTTCGCACAGTTCCTACAGAACTGAACGGAAAGCAGGCGCTGCCAGTTAAACAATAAGCTCCGATGGACCCCCTCATTTTAGGTTATTAGGAGCACAAAGCAGACGAGCCACACAGCAAGAGGAACAGAAGCGGAGTAGTTGGTTCAAGCTTTTCAAAACCCACCAGCTCCACAACACGACAAAAGGCCCTGCACACTCAAAGTACTGTTTCTTTCTTACCACTTTTTCTTTTCTTTTTTTTTTCTCTTCCTCGTTTGCAGCAAATACCACTTGATGTTGCCGAGCAACTGATGCTGGAAAAGAGCAAGTCGGAAAATAAAAGTGGAACAACACAAAGGAAGGAAAGACAGTGGAAGGACAAGGCGGCGAGTGCAGAAATGCACTTCTGACGATGTGGAGAAAAGCAGAGTGACAAAAAAAAGAAACTTAAGAAAAGATACCAAAAAAAGAAGAGATTTATTATCTTACGACTAAATAATGTCCCGTACTCTGACTTTCCTATAGTAGAGAACGAAGGAGAGATGTTAGGATTCAATGTGGTGAACTAGATAAAACTTTTCAGATTTCAATTTTTTTAAAAAGCAGCTGCATATTATCTTCCTTCCACTCATTTATGCACTGCTTTCTCTTTAACTTGTCACAAAAATCTTTAAAAGACGTAAGGTTTCACGGTCGCAGCATGAGAGGTCGTGACCAAAAGTTCAACAGGTTGAGGATCGTTCTCGCACACCTGCGCCACCTCTGCATTTTTGCAAGAAATCGTTTATCACTGGACGGAAAATTGTTGCCTTGGGATTGAAGATGTACTCGGGGTTGCAATTTATTTTTTTCTACATGTGTGTATGTCTTGAGTTATTGCTGTGCTTCATGTCACAGAGAGGCACTCTGAGGGTTCTCGAGTGCAAACCTCATTCTAAGCCTTCCTCAAAGTCCGAGCGCCCTGCGGGTGTTTGTCTGGTCGCCCCTCCGTCTCGCTGCTGCAGACACTTTTCTGGTACGCAAGCTTTTAGTTTCTCATCAAGAGGCTTCCTGAAGGATCATCCATATTTTTATTTTTGCTCTGATAAATTTCCCCCTGACCAACCAGACATCAGGGGTTATAATAGATATATGTCTGTTTCAATGTGTACCGTCGACGCTACGCTCTTGTTTGTCATAGTTTATATTTCCTGGTGTTTACCTGTTTCTGTTCATATCCTTTCAGACTCCCGTCGCATCCACTGCTCACTTGATTTTTATTTTTTTAAATATGCTGCTGGAATAGTTTTTCTTTTGCTCCTTCTGGAAATATTTCCTGGAGAATCGGTCTCTCTCTCTCTCCCTCTCTCTCTCTCTCTCTCTCTCTCCCTCTCTTTTTTTTAGGCATGAATAAATCCCACGAGTCCCAGTGCTTCGACTATTTTAGGTGGAGTCGAGGTAAAAAAAATTTTTCCTCCCAGTTCAGAAAAGTTTGCAGTGTTAGGCTGCATTTTGGCTCATCTTTTTTTTGCAGGTTTTGTATCTTTGTGGATTTTTGTTGTTCCCTCGCCTCTTCTACCCTTGCTTATTATTATTTTTTGCTTATTTTTGCATTTGCACCCTTTTTCAGATTCAAACCAGAATAGCAGGATCCAACGAACAGCATGAACCTATAGTCTCTTGGGTTACATGGGTCTATGAACATCTGTCCAGTTTAAGTTGCTACAGCTCAATTTTCAACTATCAAAAATGTAAATCCCTGGAATTCGTTTGCATTTTGTAATGTTTTAATGACAAACTTTATTGTGTTTTATGCAGGTAGATCTTCACAAAGTACATAAATGTATGCTTTATTCTAAATGAAGGATTTATTTTTCAGCCCTTGACAATGGTAGAGAAAATCTGACCGGCAGTGACACAGATTAATGATTTGTTTTTTTTTGTTTTGTTTTTTTTATTAATGTAAGATTTTCTCAGACAAATGAAATAATGTAAAAAAAAAAAAGTTTTTTTTTTTTACAACACATTATTTCTCATTTATTAACTTTGTTTCTGCTTTCATTTTAATCTGTAATAAGCACAGCTAAACTAAACTCAATATTTAGCTTGGAATTTAAATATTTAGCTAGCTAAATATTTAGTGTGCAAACAAAATGTTTAAGTCTGAGCTAAACGTTTTGCAGAGTACAAACTAAATATTTAGCTCCAAATTAAATATGTAACTTGTTAACTAAATATCTATTTTCCAAACTAAATACTTAATTCCAAAGCATTTAGTTTTCAAGCTAAATGTTTAGCTCAGATTTAAATATTTAGCTTGCTAACTAAATGTTTTGATTGCAAGCTAAATATTTAGGCCCAGGCTAAACATCTAGCAAATATATGCAAAATATGCAAATAAGCTTGCTGATAAGCGGAAGTGGAATGTCAAAATAAAAGCGGGGTTTAATATAAACTCCACTGAATAGCTCAAGTAACGTTTATTTATTGACTTATTTATTTTCATGACCAGTTCTTTTTCTTCCTACAATTTTTTTTCTCTATGACCGTCTAAATAAAGCAATATATTGCTTTTCTTTTTTTTTTTTACTGCGTAACTTTACACTGAGTTGTGGATTTCTGCAGCTCCTCCAGAGTCACCCTGGCTTTTGGCTGCTTGGTTGATTGACTCTCTGCTGGAAAATAAAAACATGACACACTGACATTCTGTTTTTACAGCTTTCCTCATTGATGTGCCCATTTTATAACTAATTATGCATGATGAAATGCAAACCTTCAACAAAAAGGGATTCATTTGAGCTCTTTTTTCTTTTTTTTTTTTTTTTTTTCAAACGCCATCCAAAATACCCTCAAACATTTGTTTTGAAGATGAAACGCGCAGAGAGAAGACGAGATCCTCCGGATAAAAGCGAACTGAACCGTCGGTTTAACGGGATCACATGAATGCAGAGGCATCTACTGTACGCGGAGCTTCACACATGACAGAAAAAAGATCAGCCTGAGCCTGGAGATCAAAAACACAATTTTCTGGAAGAATATAGAAACGGGCCTGTCGGTCTCCCAGCAGTTGTGGTCTGTTTCATTTTAATTACCCCGAACTTCACCATCTAAACCGGCTCTATCAAAGTCTATTATACTGCCGCGAATAGGCATTGCATCACTCTCAGATTGCTTTTCTCTTTTAGTAATCTACTTTGCAGATAGGATTTCATTCTTTTAATCATTTACCCCACAAGGACTAGAGTTTATTCTTGCATAATTAAGATACTGACATGGATCTTTTTCTTGCCAACACAAGAAAAATATCTTTTTTTTGCACAAAACTGAAAAAGCAAACAGAACCCTAATCTGATGTACTCTAAGAAAGCTTTGTTCCCTGGCAGAAAATATCCGATACCGAGGGAACGTCGCGTCACGATGTGAACAAAACATAAAGAAACAAGGCAAACAAGGCGCGTGACATCACATCTGAGCCTTGTGTATGAAAAAGAGAGTCGGCAGAAGCTCGATGTAATCTAGTCCGGCTTGCTCCGGAGCGATGTTTTACACTTCCATTCTTAAGTGTGGGTTGTGTGGATTTATACCTGGAGATATGGAAAACTAATTCCACACAGAGTATGGAGGAAGGGGAAGGGAAAAAAGCAAAAAAATGTGAAATGTGTGGAGCAATCCAGGCTGCGGATCTGATCTGAGATATTTGCGAGTAAAACGGACTAACCAGCAGGTTTTAGGCAGAAAAACAGTATGAAAACATTTAATATGTTCACATTCAGAACACAAAATTACACAGAAGCTGCAATAAGCATTTTTATTTCAACCGAAACGTTTGCATTTTGCAGATCAGTAGCGTCTGTGAGCCGAGTAAAGTTTGACAGTTCAGAAAGCATTAAAAAATACTCATGTGCTCATGTTCAGTGATATCTGGAAGACATTACTGTTTAAGGAAAAGATTATTCAGAAAATCAAAACTTTGATTTTAGAAGGTTGTTGATGTTTCAGCTTACACCTTGCATGTCTGCAGCTCAGTCAGCCTGGGATGTGGGAGCACAGATTATGGACGAGGTTTAATAGCTTAGCATAGGCCGTATTCATTCATACTCTATTAATATATGCCGTATTTCATTTAAAATGTTTCACCATGCTCCTTTAACCAAAGGAAGACATATTATACCGGGTGCAGTCAGTCAGCAGCCACCACTAGTCACATGTTCTGGTCTTGCAGCGTGATTACTGGGTTCCTATCTTTAAGGCTTTTTCTCATGTCTGTAAAAAAGATTTGGATCGTGACCCATTTGTAGCATTTTTTGTTGTTGTTGTTTTGGTGTTCTATCAAACAGACGTGCTTCTTTTCAGTATAATATAATTGCTTCTGCATGTCTGCAAAGTGACACTTGAACTGGAAGAATGCTTGACCTCCATCTTTTGTCTTGTGGGTGGGAGACGTAATGGTGTGTTTACAAAAGGAAAAACTGCGACACAGTCCACAAGATTCAGTGAAGAAATATGATACAACCTGATCCGGTCTTTCTAGAGCACGAGAGTAGATCTATGAGTGCGTACAGGACGTGTTCTGGATTTTGTTTCTACAAGATGGAACTTTCTAGAGTTTCTTTTCAGATTTTTTTCCCAACATTTGGTTTTGTTTTTGTTGCTCTTTGTCAGGTGACGCACCACAGGATGATATGTATCATTAATACAGCTTTGTTTTTGTCTTTGTTGCTTTTCTCTGTATTAATGGAAAAAAAATATTCTGAAAGATCATTTGTTTTAACTCAGAAGTTCTGGCCTGTACTTAATGATGCAAGGTAGACAAATATGACCATGGAGATTCCTCGCCCCCCAAGAATTTTAAAACAATCAAATCAACAGAAAACATTTTAGGAATCTCATGAAGCATCACGTCACATCCCGTTAAACAAACGTGCCTACAAATACATAAAAAGAGCATTCTGTTAAAAAAAAAAAGTGCTTTGTTCACAACCAAAGGAAGAGACCAAAAGGTAGATTGTAGATTAAAGCTGCAGTTTGTAACTTTTATAAACATGTTTTTTGACAAATATGTCTCAACTGTCACTATGTTGTCACAGTATAACACATAATCTGTGAAAAAAAATCAAGCTCCTCTTCCTTCTCCCTGTTGTCCTACTACCATCTGCAGAAAAGCAGTGCCAACCGATCAGAAACAACCAATCAGAGCCAGGAGGAGGGTCTTAGAGCTGTCAGTCATGCTTGTGTACGTGCTGTTCAATGTGTTATGGCGGATAAGCCAGTTACCGTTCCAGGAAAACTGTTTATCGGCTGTCATCTGTGGCCATGCTAGCTAGCTTGACTCTGGTGTGAGGAAGTAGCGTAGCCAGCGGAGAGAAAGGGGCTGGGTGTAAAGCACATGAGGGGATTTGACCCTCCTCCAGGTGTTCTATCAGATAGTCATACACTGTCAGCATAGCATACATGCAGCGAGTAGCATGCCCGCGCATGTGCATTAAGAAGTCCGACCGTCAGTGGAGTTGTCAGTATACGCAACAAGTTATGACGAAAATAAGTCATTAAATTGTTTATAATATGACATAATATGATAACTGTATAGATATACATGCGTTGTCATGGTTTCAAAGTGTATTTAAAGCAGGTCTGGCTGCAGCTGCAGTCAACTACAACACATGCCCGTGTAAAACTACTACTTAACCGCTAAGTCAGGATGCCATACAACTGTTAATAACAAAGTGTATGATGATCTACGTCATGATCCTATGTTGCTGATTAAATAAAATCATATGGTAATGACAACATATACATGTCTGAGCTAAGCGTATGACTATCTGACAATGTATGCTGATCTGACAGAACACCGGCTCTGATTGGTTGCTTCAGATTACCCGGTATATTTCTACAGATGGCTATAGGACCACAAAAATGTCACAGATTATTTGTCCCATGTTATAATATCAACACATAGTAACACCTTCAACATATATGTACAAAACATGTTTTTCATAAATGTTACACAGTTCAGCTTTAATAGATTCAGATCAACAGTACAAGGTAACACGTACAGCTCTTGCATCGGACTAAAGATAACGAGATTAGAAGGTCCTCAGCTTTCCTACGGCGCTGCATTTCATGGAAGCCTACACGAGCATCTTATCCCTCCCTTTGTTGCTGCTCCACTGATGACTGGTTTCATGAATACAACATACCTGTGATATTCACAAAAAAATTCATGAATGTAACCACAGAGCACCAGGGAAACCAAGCGTGAGTCTTCCAAATAAAAAGCCCCCTCAGCCCCGATGCAGATCGAGCGTCGTGAGGAAGCAGGTGTTCTTCGCTGCCTTCCCCTCCCACAGAGTAGGGAGAAATGGAAGGTGGCGTTTTCTTTCTATCTGCAAATGGTTTTTATTGTCGCCAAGCCTGTTTCACATCTGTCTCACATCCTTGTGGTTTTACGATTGAGTTCACTTTCACAGGCCATGAGACTTTCAATCTCTGCGGCAATTTGCCCAGCGATGCGCGGTGGTTTAAACACATGTTGTAATTTGTGTTGGCCACCTCTAGACAGAAAACCAAATGCTTTAAAGCTAAAACATGAGCATCCCTGTTACTTGTGTGTATACAAATATGATAAAAACCATGCACACATTCATCAAAAGTAAAAAAAAATAAAAAATAAAAAAAATTCATATTTGAAACGGTGTTGTAAATGAATGTACATAGTTTTACCACATAGGGGCATCTGTAGCTATGTAAGGTACACCAAGAACCACAAAACAAGAATTTTTGTTTACATTTTTGTTTCATTTTTTACATTTTTAGCATCAGATTTTATTGTTTATAGAATTTCTTTTTAACCATAACCCATTTCTCACGCTAAAGCTAGAGTCACAACATGGCGTTGGTAGAATTCACCCATCTATAGTAAGCTTCCTGCTTTTGGAGTGGCTTTGTGTTCACATATGCATTTGAACTGCACCAGAGTTCATGTAAACCGAAAAGAGACTCAGCTTTTTAGGAGGACCAGAGTTTGATTACGCATTCACACCGCCCCAAACAAAACGGACTTTCAAGACAAACTGACCAGAGTTCGATTAAAGAGGGTCAAACATGGCGAGTGTGAATGCACCCCTAGACGATATAGGGTCTACATTTGGAATAAGAACGTTATCTCTGTGAGTGAGTGAATTCTCTCTGGCTACTCTATCTTCCTTCACCGTTGTATGTTCGGTTGATTGGGTTTTTTTTCCTTAGGAATGTGTGTGTGTGTGTGTGTGTGTGTGTGTGTGTGTGTGTGTGTGTGTGTGTGTGTGTGTGTGTGTGT